TAAAGGAATCAATATAAATACAAATTGACAGCTTTTCTCAAAAGAGTATTGATTGAAGCTAATTTGTATCTATATAGAATCCAATGTTGATTAGGCATATGGATCCTGAGCATCTTGGAACTCTGGACCATATGGGTCTTGATTAGTTGAACCTTGGGAACTGTCTGAACTGGTCTTTTGGGCCGGTGCAAGAGGATCATCATCAGACGGTTCATCTTCTAATTGGGCTTAGACCTAATCCATCAGGAGTCGGGCATTTGCAACAGTTGATCACTGGCTGATCCAGGTTTAACCTTGGGCTTGGATGGAGCAGCATTTGATTTTTCTGATTTGGGCTTTGATTGAGTCTTGGGCTGAGTCGGTACTGCAGTGGCTTTGGACTTAGCCTTGGACTTTCGGGTCTTGGATAGGCGGGATCAGGTCCTGCGTGGCAAGACCATTCCTTTGGTGAAAGTCTTGTGGAAACATCACGGAGTGGAGGAGGCCACTTGGGAACGTGAGTTGGAAGTCCGTGAGAAATATCCGGACTTGTTTGTTGATATGTAATCTTGTATTTAGATTTTGAACCATTGTTGAACTTAAGAGCTTTTTATTTATATGTTTTAAGTTGTGAAACATTGAAAATGTTTTGGTTTATCGGAAGTATGTTTTGGAACTTGCCTCATATGGAAGTTGAATGTAACATTATATATGTAGAATATATTGTTGAAATTGGAAAGGGAATGCGTAATGTTGATGCATGTTGAAAGTACATATGTTGTTTACATACTGTGAAATGCCCCTTATTGAAGGGATGGGATGACTGGTAATGGGTCGAATTGTTGAAAATGGAGGAAAAACCTGTTTTTGAAAACTTGTGCTTAATTTCGGGGACGAAATTCTTTAAGGGGGGGAGGTTATAGCGATCCCGGGTTTACCCTTGTTATACAGTGATCCGGACATGTGTCCGTGGATGTTGGTAGTTGTTTATTATCTTGTTTACATCCTTTCTTATTTGGTATTTGAGTTATAGGATGTGTTGGGCAGGTTTGTTACAGGTTGGTTGAATTTAGAAACCAAAACTAGTTGCCCAGATTTTAACCTGTCCGCTTGAGCGGGGGTTTTGGTGCTCGAGTGGAAATTGCACCCATCCAGTTTCTCCTGTGCAGTGTTGGACGCTCAAGCGTGGGATTGGCCGCTCGAGCGGGGTTGTGTGAGTGACGTTCGAGCGGGGAGTTGGAAGCTCGAGCGGAGACCTGGTTCTGTAAAAGTTCTGGGAGTGTGCATTCGCCGCTCGAGCGGGATTGTTGGCGCTCGAGCGGGAGTCTGTGAGTGACGCTCGAGCGTGGGTGTTTTACGCTCGAGCGGGGCGACTGGGTTTAAGTTCCGTGGTTTGACTTTTCAAATCACTTTTTCACTTTCTCTTCTCTCTCCTACTTTTCCAAAAACACCATTGGTGAGCCTCTCTCTCTAGATAATACCTTCTCTCTAGGTTTTGATCTAGTAGGAGTGATTTGCTCATCTTTGGCCTTTACAAAAAGGTCGTTGATCGTCGAGGGCTACATTTTAATCTGAAAATTTCGAGTTTTGGAGCACGTTGGGTTTTGTCATCTTCTCCTTTGAGGCTCCGAATTTGAGGTAGGGATATCCTACTCCTCTCTATGGATTTTGTCTTTAAATTTTGGTATTTTGAGATGTTGGGGTTGGTTTGGTAATTTTGTGAAAGTTTGGGGCTCTTGTGTTATTTTTACAAAAGTTGGGATTTTATTTATAATAAACCTAAATGCATGTTGTCGTAGAGAAGTGAAATAAATGTTGAATCATTGATGAAAATGGGACCTAAGGGTTGAAATGGTAATTATGGAAAATGACCTAATTACACCGTTTGATTAATTGGGATAATTAATTGTGAGAAATGAGGAAATGAAGTGAAAATGTTGATTTAATATCCATTTGTGCATTTATTTTCTGTTTAGAAATAACTGCTTTGGGCTATCGGTGGAGGATAGTCGTGATTGTTGTAGACAATGCATGATGATTAGGCAAATTGAAACTAATCGCTCGAATGTGTCATTGAGATTGACGATTGAAAGAATACATTAAATTTATGTATTGTATGATGATGTGTATAATTGTTGTTTATATGCATTGTGTTGTGTTGGAGGAGATAGGGGATGTACTCCACGGTTTAGGGGAAGATAGGGGATGGACCTCTAAACCGGATGTGTTGGGAGGAGATAGGGGATGGACTCCATAGATAGAGCTCATATGCTTATCTATTATTGTGTTGACAGAGCTCATATGCTTGTCATTGGAAATACGAGAGTTCTCTTATGAATGTGGATATTGTTGTTATACATATCTGTTGAGAGTGTGGATATAGCTTATATGCTTATCTGTGAATGTGGGATATAGTTTTTATACATATTTGTTGAGAATGATGATAGAGCTAACATGCTTATCTGTTGAAAAAGGGGAAAATGAAAAGTATCTTGGACTCATAAGTCGTATGACATAAAGTGTGATTTATGTGGATGTATCAGTGTTGGCCATCTATCATTTGCTAATCTTTTAGTCATTGTTCATGGTTGGTTTAGTGTATTTCTACTGGGCTGTGGCTCACCCTATATGGGAATATCATTTTCAGGTACAGGTAGCATGCCACCTCCAAGGACATAGCTTGGGAGGCTAGAGGCGGACATACTTTTGTCATTTTACTTTTTGATGTATTACATGTAAATTCAAGCCAAGGGCTTAAGGTGTAAATGAGTTAGCACTCTTTTGTTGTAACCAAGTGTTAACTTGGAAAGCTGTAAGCCCGTAGGGCATTTTGCTTTTGTTGTTAACATGTAATACTTTTGTAATCAAACTCTGATGAATAGAAGAATGTGGGTATTTCATATGTTAACGAATGTCTTATTTGATGGGTTTAATGTTATTATTTTGAGGGCGTTACACGATGAATGGACATTGAATGTAGTTTGTGGAGTGCATAATCATCCAGCTACTAAGCATCTCCAAGGACATTCATATGCAGAGAGATTGTCAGCTAATGAAAAATTGCTATTAGTGGATATGTTAA